ATAGAGGATTGGATATTTGTTTGTGGGAAAGGACAGAAGAATATTTATAGATCGGAACTCCCATGATGCATTGCGAGTTTGAGTAATGGCGACGGGCCCGAATTAACGTTCATTGTAGCTTTTAACTCATCACTATAAGGTTATCATGAACGTAGTTATAGCTCAGAAGGTTCCTTAGACACGTCTGTAACAGCATTATACTCACAAACGGCTCTATCGATAGTGGTAAGTGAGTAATTCAATATTACCCTATTATCGCCCGCTCGAATAAATTATATTTTTTCTTGATTTTTGTTTTTCAAGTTGCCAGTCTTTCTTGGAAAAGTCGGGTGTGCGTTTATTGGAGTGTGTGCCTTTATTAGAGATAATACGGTACTAGTACTCATAAAAGATAGAGTATTCAGTCTCAAATGATGTGGGATAGATAAAATCCAGTCTCGAAGTCCATAGGCAATTCAGAGGGTCAAAATTCACAATGATCATCAGGAGAAAACTATGGCTGGTTTCGATCCCCATTTCTCAATCATTAATGCCATAGCCGGGATCTTCCTCAGAAGATGCCAAGTGAAAAAATTGTGAGTTCATTGACAATTTAATTATACCATTCCTACATCCTTCAACATCTCAAGTGGTAAAATTTGAAATTTCAAGATTAATGACTTGTACTTTTCAGCAAACCCTAGAAAGGATTTCTTAAGTTTTTTACAAGTATAACCTTGACCTAACTGCTTGGTCACTAAAATATGGTGTCTTGATTTGAAATCTAGATATTTTAAACACGCCCATATGCTGGGTTTAGTGGAATATTGCTATCCAAATGTGGAAAATTAACAACAATTTTAAAATGCTCAACAGACTGAGTTAAGAAGGCCTGGTACTGATCTTTCTTAATATTACTATCCTAATTTTGTTCAATTCTTCACAGATTGTACATTTAGTAATATTAGAGTCCATTGTTTTGAACTTTGAAGTAAAATTCAAAAATGCTCTGAAATGCCTTATAGTGTGGTTATATTATTAGGTCCTTTGATTGATCAAAACAGCATACTAGTAGTAGCTATCATTATTCAGCCTGGGTAAAGCATGTGAATCAGCAGATAAAGAATGAAGTAAGACCCGCAGCTGACATATTTTGCTGCTACTAGATATCACTCATTGTTTACAACACTACATACACTGTTGGTCATAAATATGGAATATTTTATAATTATCAATTGTTTGGTATAGTTCTTACAAATGATAATAATTGATAATAATTTGTTTAAAAATTTGTTTAAAAAATGCCTCCTGATTTCCTCTTCATATTTGGACATAAAACTGATTGTTATTAAAAGTAGCTCGTGGAGGTGGTTCTGTTTGTATTTGAGGTGGTGTTCACCAAGGAGAGTCTCACTCCCTTGGTGAGCCTGAACTGTAATGTCAGCAGTGAGAGAAACAGTGGCCTTTTGGACCTCTTTGGACATCTAGTACCATATGCAAACAGAGTGTTTTGGCATAACTTTCAACTGCAGCATGATGAAGCTCATGCCCATGTAAGCTGCATTATGCAGGATTTCCCCAGGACAGGTAATGTAGAGCAGCTACCATAGGCACCAAATTCACCTGATCAGGCTCCTGCATGAGGGATGAGACTGATAGCGTAATTCGTGACAAGGATCTCAAAATTTAGCAGAATTGTATACTCCTCAGATTGAGTAGTGGGACCTTATTTCTCGTATACAGGTAAGATATCTCATTGACAGCAGGCCCCAGGGGTGGATGCTCTGATTGCAGCACTAGGAAGACATACCGCATATTAGTGCTGTTATGGGATAGAGAACTTATTCATTTTCATAACCTGACGTTTAGTTTGTTTGATTCGCTTTACATTAAAATTTGGATCAGGGTGTTTTGAAAATGCAAAATTTTCTAGACTACCCTATTTTAAATGACAGCAAATTTCTTAACTTAAATGTAAATATTTTTTCCCTAAAAATGTTGATTTGTAGATTAAATATCTGTTTATGATTTGCCTAGAAAATAAATTGCTTAACGACTCCAAATAAATAAATGTTGTCTTCATCCAAAACGTGAAATCTGATCTGACAAATCTCATATTCCATATTTATGAGCAACAGTGTATGCATTAAACCATATATTTTATTCATTTAAACTTATGAAGTAGACCTACAATGTTATTTAATTCAGTATCTTCAAATAACAAGATATTTGTCAAGTGCTTGTCACCTGCTATATCAAGTATCCCAACTACAAAATGATTTAGAAAATTTCATTTCGACAAATCAATTTCACCTTTTGTTGGTGACGTTTTAGGATCTAAAACATTTTGTTATCAAAACAATTACTAGTAGTTACAACTTCAATGACTAAACTCCAGTTACAACTTTGATCTGCTTAGATGAGAGAAAAAAAATCTGCCAAACCACAGTTTCATCGAAGATCTGCAATGCAATGGCTACACTGCCATCTTTTAAAGGAAACTTATCAAAAGTACACAATTAACACAACAAAAGAATATTTGACCAAAATCTTAATCTGAAAGGATCTGATGAAATCAAAGGACGATTCTCGGTTTGGAGAACAGTCTCCTTGGCTAATAATTTTTTTCATGAAAAATATAGAAATATTACCCAAATAAACTATGAATATTCAAAAGAGGACATTTAAATCTACAAGATGTAAAAATAACAAATTGGTCTGAAGCAGGGATAACGCTCAATTAGACCGATTCAATAAAATACAAGTCTTGATTTGGGGAAAGAAGTTCATCAGTGTACTGCGCTAATATTTTTTCGCGAAAAACTTAGAAATATTACCCAAATTAAATGATGACTATTCAAAAGAAGACATTCAAATCTATATTATGTAAAAAAATCAACGTTGTCCGAAGCAGGGATAATGCTCATTTAGATTGATGAACTTCGTTCTCCAAACCGAGAATTGCGTCCTTCAAAAAATATGACGAGACCTTGCCTGAAAAGTGAATTTTGACATCATTTTAACAATGTCATTGATCCTTTATGGCCTTATTGCTAGCATTTTGTGCCTTCTTCCTATGCTGAACCCAGAAACAAATATAATGAATCCTGAAGTGAACATCTATGGAGGCACAAAACGTGTTCACTGAAGTGTAGGTGGATGTTCACAACAGATAGGGAATTTTGTACCCCTGCTAGCAGAAAAGATGAAATATATACTGTACTCCCGATAATTTTTGCATGCTATTATATTTCACGCTTTTTGCGAGATTTGAAAATTAGCGAAAAATAATAGTCGGATGATTTCAAAATGCCAAAAACGCGAAATACAATAGCATCAAATATAAGTGGGAGTACAGTATAGAGAATATGAAATAAAATATCAACTGATCAATTGATGAATATATATATATTTATTCTTCATTGCTAACATGGTGTTAGGACATTCAGGGAAAATGTTCATTTCTTCAATGTAAATATAAATAAGCATTGAACCTCTAGAATACATAAAGCATATCATGTGACCAAAAATAAAACTCAATACATATGAAGTTAATATAATTTCAAATAACAATGCATATGCATGTTATTCAGTAATTATACCTATTCTGTCTGCCTTATTTCATGATTCCTTTCTTATTAATTTGCAACATTTAAACCCATTATTCTCTAGAATATATATACGGTATCTTGGATAACATATATAGCAATTCACATGTCATTAACATGATTAAAGGGGCAACAAGGACTGTAGAGAGAAAATTCACAATTTTTTACTTTTTCTGTGTTATCAGGGTAACATTTGGCTTAACATCTTCTTAGACATACCTATTTTCTTTAAAATGAATGGATAAACTCTCAATTTCAGCATTAAGAAGTGTAAATTAAGTTCAAAGCTTCTATAAAAGGAGTCCCACTTATAGATTTTTAAGACCCATCACCTTTCAAGAGTAGTATAAGCTGAAATAATGTTCATCCAGGGGGTTTCTTTGTAGATAATAAAAATATATGTTAGTCTTGATGAACTATCCAAACTTGAATATATTTTGACACTGGTCTATGGTCGTTGAATGGCCCCCTGCACTATTTGTTGCACCTTTAAGTAGTTATACAACTCAATATATCCAACTCCACTGAAAACTTAAACATTTTTCTCTTCTCTCAAGGGTTCATCTTGCTCAACCCTGAACAAGATAAACAAGATGAATCTCAGTCTACAGATTAATTTAAAGTTACACACAGATTTGTATCAGGTTGTTGTATATTAGAATATAAAAATTAATTCTTTGTTAAATATAGAGTTAGAAAGTAAAATACACCATATTATTTTGGGTCACTCTGTAATATTTTTTAGTATTCAAATGAACTAAATCCAAAACAGCCATCTTTAGAATTCACTGCATCTACATGAAATGATATTAGAAGCTTATTTAGTGAGAATTACAAGGTGTCCCATAAGTAATGACTAAAATTCAGGTTTTGTAAATCATTACAATTAGTAAGTAGAATGTCCCTTTATCACTCTGTGATATTCTGCAGCTTTCAAATAGATAAATACAAAACAGTCATTGAATAATTTATTGAGAATTACAAGGTGTTCAATAAGTAATGCTTGTATTAAAATTCAGTTTTTGTATCTAACATAAGTATTTGAAAGTAGAAGTGCTATCATTATATTACTCTGTAATATTCTGTATTATCCTATGCCAAGTAGAGTTTAAGGGAGATAAGTTGTTAAGATATATCCCGTATCCTGATTTTGAGGTTTCCATATCCAGAACCTCCATATCTCCCGCCATATATCCCGCTTCGATGCATATCTTCCGGGATATCTTCCCGCTTCCGGTAAGGAGTGGAAATGCAATAAAATGACTTTGCATATGAATGATTTGTTTATTTTTACTTGTACTATTGAAATGGCCATATGCCTCTGAAAACTATACTTGGTATAGGTTAAAGCAGTTATGTACGGTCGGTTTGGATATGGGGTTCATTCCTTGTGAGATATGCACATCAATATACAGATATGCATATCTCCCTCTGCATAAACCCCATATCCAAAACCTCCCAGTACATAACCCTTATGTATTCACAATAATATTCATATACACTGCATGTATATGAAATCATACAAGTATTTTGGAGAATTATTGTGGTTACTAGCCGAAGATATCAAAAATATATCTGGTAAAGTCATGTAGTCATTTACATTGGACCCAATTATAGAAACAACAGAGTATACTGTAATTTAGGCTCTAGGATGAGTAGAATTGTTATTTGCTATAAAATCTGGTTATTAATTCATCAATCTTTTGTATTGGTATCTTGCACTCTTTAGGCGGCCACCCAGATATCTGCCTATAACCACCTTCTCCTTTGTTGTTCCATAGTTCAGATATGATTAACCATCTGTCCACATGTAGAGCCTCCTCTCCTGTACAGCAGCCAGATCTCAATGCACGGATTGTGATGTAGAAAACTACTGGCATCAGCCAATAATTATCAGACCTGTATCCTCCTGGTACTATTCTTGGTTGTACATCAACACCTCGGAAATCAACATCTGGAAGTTCCTTCTTACTGTTAAATATCCACAGCTGTCCATCCTCCTCCTTCATCTCATATAGTTCAAATACATGGTGAGCTACATCACACAGGCAACCTCCCAATGATATCTCACTAGATGTACATGATACCTGGTGATGTAGCACCCGGGTCTTCAAGGCATGGGAGCTGTAAGTGTGGCTATCAGGGATTAGATGACATTCCAGAATCAGGAGTTTCAATAACATCAGCAGCTTATTGTGATGTTTGTCTAGTTTATGTTTACTGTTATAGACAGATATAGTCCATGGTGTAAAATAAGGTGATCTTGAGTTATATGGCAGGAGTATATATCTACCATGCTCTGTCTGTTGCTGCTCAATGCAGAACCCAAGATCAATATCTGTTGTATATTTACCACCACCAATCCTTATTCTTACACATGGTCCATGCCCCCTTTCGTCTAATTCAATTGTATTGGGAGATAAGTAGGGATCATATGTTCCATTCCTGCAACTATCGCTCAACTCATTGGAGAAGCTGAATTTATCTCCTATAATGTATTTGTATAAAGAAGTAGACCCCCCCTGATGAAGTACATGTAGCCTCAGTCTGTTCAAGCAGTCCCATTCACTACTGGTTAGTACTAGTCTCCTCGCCCCTATGTAGTGAATACCTTCCAGTTTGGATAGACAGTCATGGATTGCACCCCCGAGTAAATATGTTATATTCATAAGATTGTTCTTATCATTTATTACTTCCTTTTCTACTCCTAATGATTGTTTTATGTCATTGATTTGTGTTTTCAGATTTTTAGTTTTTATGTTCACTTCCACTTCATTGTTCCAATCTACATCTGATATATTTACATTTGGGACTGAAAGTTGTTTAAATAATAGCAGCAGATCACATTCATCAGGATGTATTATTTTGCTGCCATTGAAATAACTTCCATTTGGTAGAATATCACCAACTGCAAACACAGGATAAAGTTCTCCAATTTTATCACACAGTGTCCTTACTTTGGATATAATCTCCTCCTGATGTTCCTTGATTTCTGAGTCACTGAGCTTTAGTTTACATTTCTCATATCCAGTATTTGCAAAGTCTGTTAATGTGTCTTTTTCTGATTCAGTAAGCTTGTATGAGTTCCTTGTTAGTTTTGTAACAGAGCTAAATATTCCTCCCATTTTGAATTTCAAACACAAACTGTTGTCATAATTTGCTCCATGTGCTATATATAGTAGTACATTTTTTCTCACATCAATCCAGTATTCCCATTATCTGTGTATCTATAGTGGAGTTACCCTTAATAGGGTTTTCATCAAAGCTGTTGCGTCATAACCATTCTGGCACATTGATCCATCATATCAGGAACAAAAACATAGACGGTGTTGTCAGGGGAATATTGATTTATTCGCTACATTTTACGAAAATTCAATGGAGTACATGAACATTGAACAAACCTATACTCCTATGTAATATCCCAGATGCGAGTAGAAATAATATTGATTTACGTCATTATTAATATTCAATGCTTCATTGTACTAAAAATCCCTTTCGGCAAGTGTACAGCAAACAAACATGATATAGTAGCATTAAAAATCACAATTCAGTCAAATTGATGTCATATTTGGAATCTACATGTAAAATTACATTTAAAAATGTGGTTTTGAAAAGGGTTTATCAACTTTGAAAATTTAATTTTCTTTGAAAATGTGACTTCTAGGTCGGGGAGATTCCCCATAGACCCCATGTTGTAAAACCACAAAAAGTCAAATATCTTTCTTGTGCTGGGAAGATAATATTTTCTTTTACTGGACATATTTTAATTTGTATAACTATCAGATACATATTGGTTATATGAAAAGTGAACCACTAAAACTGATGCATATTCAAGTTTAAGGGAATTTTGTAATGCCCTGCCATGTTAATTCCCCCGAATCAGCCACCTGGTGGCGAAACTGGTAACTACCTACTCGCATCTGCGAATTCCTGGGTAGCTTGAAACAAAAGCTGAACCAATAGTCAATACGTTACATAGGCCTTAAGGACATCTTCATTTGCAAAACAATCACCAAAAGCAATGGATTCTAATTCAGGTTGTGATTCTAATTTAGGTCGTGATTCTAATTCTGGTTGTGATATTAGTTCAGTAGGCTAGAGTAAGTACCCTGTAAGTTCTATACCAGAGCCTTTCTTTGATTTACAGTCCATATTCATCCCATTTGAAATTCTTATAATATTGCAATAATTTGCACATATACAGGGTGGGCCAAAAAAACGCCACTTTTTTTCAAGACACTACAACTTTTTTATTTTCCAACCTACATACCCCCAAAGGATCAATTACCCCATGTACCTAAAGGCGCCCCCAAAGGTTTCATTGAATATAACATGAAAATAGTTACTTTTATCAATTATGAACACATCCAAAACAAAATTAGGTCATAGGGATTAAAACCAAGGTCATTCAGTGCATTTAGTTTGTCTATGCAAATTATTCTAAATATCATGTTAGAGGTATGTTAGTCTTCACTCATGACTGTTTTTAGTATATTGACCATTCAATCAATCGATATATCAAAATATCATTAAGGTAGGACACAAAGGGCAACATATTGAAAACACAAATCATAAAACAACCCCTAAAATGTAATATATCTATGAATCTTAATCTTGAATCTCGGCAAAAGTATCACCTCAGTTGCTATGCAGAAGGTTTAACCTAGGATATTCAATTGAGAGGACATATTACACATCATTATCAAAGGTAGGACACAAAAGGCAACATATTGAAAACACAAAACCTAGGTATTCAACTAAAATATTAAAATTCTAGTTGTGACTTTCCAATATATGATATATTTATTTGGCATTTTCAAAGAATAATTCAATTGAAGCTAAAGGTATAAAGTCAAATTGTTGCTTTTTAGAATTGAAAAGGTGCATGTAGGAGAGTTTTTTCGTCACAAGTGGAGGTATTTTAATCTATCCATTGTACGTGTATAACATATAATTATTATGAAGTAAAATATTTTAGTTTGACTTAGGATGAGTCTTACAGTGTCCCGTTAATGGCTATGTATCAGATGCTGGCACAGTTTTGCCGGAAGTTTGCAAGAAGTAACTTTTGGCAATGCAGTATGTTAGAGTAACCTAGTAGGTGTAAGAAAATATAAGGTGATGGCCTTTAAAGTGGTAAAAACAATTTTCACGGCCGAATTGGACTTCAATTCCTGCGATTTCAGGGGGTACTATAAGACTATTTCATAACATAAAGGATATAGTTGCTATATTGTTCTGTTTTCTACAGCACACATTACTAGTCCAAAGATGAATAATATCATAAAGTTATAGGCCGATATCTGTATTGGTCTCAGAAATATTGCAATTAATAGGAAAAAAATATGCAATTTTAGTCATTTTTAAGTCTCACGTATCTTATATTTGTAGCTTCCAGCAAAAGATGGCAGCTTAAATAGCTCAAAATTGTTTTCTAAAAACTAATTCAAGCTTTGTTTGATATTGTAATACAATTATAATAATGATAATGTACTATTTATGATTTTTAATATGACTTTATAGTACCCTACCCCTGGAAAGTGGGCGTGGTGAATTTTATCATTTTGCAGCATACAATTAAAAACTTATATTGATAGAAAGCAAATCAATGCATTTTTAACATTTTCACTTGTTACTTGACATTGTAATTCATTCATTACTAAAATATAGGACTCTAAATATTTTATATATACGTTTTCAATTGTGTACAACGTATCATGATGAAATCTAATAGGCTGGTTCATTTTCAGTGTTCACTAACGCATGAAATGTAAGTCACAGTGTTTCCAAATTACCTTTGCAATGAGAAAGTACCACAAAGACTACATAATATGAGCAGTTTCAAGGTCCTAATACTAATACTTACCGATCTATCGGCGTTCAAAAATAGAGAAAGCTGTCGTTAGTGCAGTTTTAACTAACTTTGAACTGAAACTGCTGCTTAATGAATATTTTTCTCAACATGTGTGACTTTTTTAGACACCAAACATAAGATACCAAGACATAATGCTACCAAGTTCTGATATTGGAAGTTTCAGAGCTCTAGATCAAATATTCACTTCTGCATGTACTTTTAAAAAGAGGCAAAAGGACAAAAAAAACTGTCAGATATCGTATAAAATATGAAAGATGCACTATTCAGAACAATTTATCTCTTAAATGTTACTTTTATTTGACATAATTTCTGATTCTGCCTCCAGTTAGTACCACCAATAATACATATGAGAAGACTTAAAGTCATAGTAAGTGGAAGTACAGATCTATTGGCTTCTGAAAATGGGAAAAGCTGTAGCAAGTATGATTTTCACCAGTTTTTCATCTAAGACTGCAACTTTCTGAATTTTCTTTTTACAAACTGCATAGTAAGACCAAAGACATTAATGGAAACCTGGTCATTGTACCACCAATAATAGGTAAAAATAATATTGGTAATATATACCAAGTGTTTACTTTAATTCCAAGGCATCTGAATTGATAAATAAATGAAATCAGTACTTTATTGTATCTTGGGACAAAATACACTGTTTGAATGCTTAAGCTTGACATCACAGTATCAAGTGAAAGATACGTTGTTATATACAGCTATATATAACTTTAACTGACTTTACTCTTCAATTTGAAATATGCCTGGCCATTCTAAGAAAAATGCGACGGAGGGCAAAGAGGGTGCATGGTATAATTGGTAATTAAGCTCTTCTAGAGTTTAAAGCTCCCACAATCTTTAAAAACGAAATGGAGAATAACATGTGAAAGTATATGATGGACTAATTGTTCTAAGAAAGTTTTTGAAAGTAACATTGGAAAAATGTAAGCAAGAGATATGTTCCAAAATACTTTCAGGTAGAAATAAAGCTCCGTAATGTAAAAACAATGTATTCTCAGTATTCAATAATAACATTCTTTATAGGTTTTTTGGTCTTAAGCATATCAGTGATTATCCCATGGTTGCAAGGATATAGATCGAATATCACATGAAGATATATTTGATATGTGGATCAAGTTATAATATTTTAGCAAAAAATTCACAAACCATCGAATATCACTTTTAAACTATCGAATATCACGTCTTAAAAAGTGATATTCGGTGGTTTGAAAAGTGATATTCCATGGCTTCGAATTTTTTCAAAAAATAATTTCTTTTTACATTTTTCAATTATTTTCAAAAATATTTTAAAAAAATTTCAACATTTTTTTATAATTTTTTTTCAATTATTTTTTCAAATCTTTTCTCGAATTATATTTAGAAAATCCTGAAAGCTGCAGTTTAATATTATGAATTATAGGTGAAAATTGCACTTGCTACACTGCTTCTCCCATTTTTAGATGCTAATAAACCTGTAACTACACTTACTATGACCTTAAGTCTACTCATATGTATTATTGGTATTACTAACTAGAGGCAGAATCAGAAATTATGGTAAATAAAAGTAAAATTTA